GGAAAGAGAGGTTTTTGGTACCAGAGCGGTTAATATCAATACTCTTTTCCCCTCCTCCCCCCATTCAGCTTTGCATCTGCAGCTGGAATTATAGCTTGCTTCAGTGAAGCAAAGGGCTACAAATAAGAATTGTTGGCCAATCCCCTTCTGTATTGGTGGCATTTATCATTTGTATCTTAATTGTCTTGGAGTATTTAGGGAGACTTCTGGGGGAAGGAGAACAGCCAATCTTTAACTTGATGTGTGGTTTGCCTTGAGAATTTCTGTTCAGAACAGATTTTAACTTTTTTCTGGGGTAGGTGGAATTACTGTTGTAAAAGGTTATTGTTCTAATGGTGTATTATTGCTGTCAACAGGAATGTTAGACCTGTGGGGAAATTCTGTAGGTCTGTGTTTTGGAGCTGAAAGTAAGATTTCATTCCTGTGGCAGTAATGCATCATGTCTGGGGCCAACGTGCAAGCTAGCTGGTAGTACAACACATTGTACAATGATGACTATATTGAAACTTACATTTGCATCCAAATTCAAATTGACACATGCACAGCTAACAAAGCATGTCTGACTTTTGTGCTTCCTTTTCCTTATAGGGAGGCTTTGCTGGCTGAGATGGGAGTTGCTATTCGGGAAGATGGAGGAACACTGGGAGTCTTCTCACCTAAGAAGGTAGAGAATACCGACGTTAAATGTTGGTTCACTTCTGTAAGAGACTAGTCAGCTGGGTGAGACTCATTTCTCGGTCAGCTATAGAATAATTCTGGCAGTCTCTGGACCCCAGGTAACGGATACCAGTTTTAGTCTTGAAGAACTTCAGTGTTTTGCAGCCTATATGCAGGGATTCAGAGGCATAACAGCATGTGGCTCGGTGCCTGGGGCAGCTGCCACATACAAGGGCAGTGGTGACTTCTGGCTGCTACTGCGCTGCTGGTACAATTGTACTGGGGTAGCTGCCCTAGTCGCCTTGCCTTAGTTGCACCACTGCAGGTATTACCTCATCCACCAATGAAATGCAGCCAACAGAGATGTGAAAGCTGTCCCTCAGTACCAGGAACAGTATATCTTGCTCTTAGGGATGATGTCCGCAGTCCACCATTTATTTAGGAAAGGCAGAATGTCATATGAATTCAGTCTGAATTTGCTGAAGAAACTCAAGCCATGTGAAAAATGTAGCACGAGACTTCGGATGACCAAAAATAGGTAAGAACGCTGTAGTGTCCCTTTAGAAAGTGGCTGCTTCCAGTAACAGGATATCTGAACTGGGCCACTGGTGTTGCACATAGACTCAGAAGTGGCATCTAGGCTTGTATTTTTTTACAGATTCATCTCTGCTTGGTTGGAGGATGTTATAACTAGCTCAAATCCTAAGATTCTGTGGCCTTATTATCTTTGTTAAAAGTCCACTATTTATTTTTTCCTATCAAAAAGGGGGGCTGTCATTTAATGAACTAATAATCACTGATGATGAGAGTTGTAAATGGAGGGGAAGGGTTCCTTCTATTGCATGTCAAACTTCTATCTTTGTGAAAGGTGGAAAAAACTCCATTGGAAATCTGTGCTACATGCATGAGAGGAGGAATCTCGTTTAAAATTACTTTGAATGCAATGAATATAGCAACTACCAATTACTGTATGGTATCTCAAACAAAAGAAACCAGTAGTCTGAAACTCTTCCCCTTTCTGCCTTCAATATACGTTGTATAATTTTTTGAGTGATACCCTTGAATCTCATTCCTGTTGATTTTTCCTTGTGTCTCTGAAGTGCCATATTTTGTTTCCAGCTGGTTTGTTTTGCCTTTTGTAACTTATTCCTAAACTGTCTAAGACTCATAAAGCTTCTTCATCCACACTGTTATCTTTCCTCAAGTTTTCTTTTCTCTTGCTTCTCTTTCACATTTTGGATTGCATTTCCTTGTAGATTTTCCCTCAGAGGCCATCAACTCTTTTTGATGACTCTTTTGATGCATTTTCTCCTGACCAGGTTTGTGTGCAGAAGCTGTTGGGGATCAGTAGTTGCTTTGATTAGTAACTAGCAAGTTCTGCCTGTGGAAATGCATACTAGAGGAAACCAAATCCTGATCTGTCCTTAGCCATTCCTTTCTGCCCTTCCAGTTTAATGTGCATAGTTCTCCTTCCTGTAGTAATTGGCAGCTCTTGTTGTGAGAGTTTTAGAAATCTAGATAGCAAACTGGGCTGTAAGTGTTTTATGTTTATGGCACAAGAATGAATCTAGTTTTGTGTTAGTGCCTGTGAGCATAGATCAGTATTTTTATCATGCCAGCCTGATAGAAATGACTTTTCTGTTTAGTTCCTGAATGAAAAGGTAGTGACATCACAAAACCAGTGAATTATCCTCTCAACCCTTGAGGGAGGGCCTGCTAAGTCAGGCATGAAGGCTACTAGGCAGCGGAAGCTTGCACTGCTGCCAGGAGGCATATCTTCATGCACAGAACCAGGGACTTTAGGATGAGTGAATGGGTCCATTTTGTTACCACCAAACGTCTTTCAGATTGCTCAGCTTCGTTTGTTATAGAGTGTTCTCATTTTAAGGTCACCCATAAGTAGGAATTAAGACTTGCAGTAAAAAATATAGTATACGAAGAGAAGCATAAAAATATATTTGTAGTTGGTGGGACAGACACACATGTCTACATGTCCAGCCGCTCACTGCTGCTTGTCATATTTTCAGTACTTGTGGATTTCGGCTTCTCAGGAAATGACAGCTAAAGGTTCTACCTTTATATACGTTCTAAAAGTCTTCTTGTGAGATGAGCCAGTGGTTGTGCTCTATTGCTCATCTTCAACCATAGTCGTAGGTATGCTTTTGCTTACGTGTCTGTACTCGCCGTGATTCTACAGCTGTCTTTTCATTGGGTCATGGAAGATAAGACTTCTCCCTCCGAAGAGAGGAAATTCCATTATTGATTGATGAGGGACATCACTTTAAAGCAACATGATGGGACCTCCTTCACCTCACTTTGCTTTCTTGTTTCTTCAAATACAGGTTTCCAGGCCCTGAAATCTTATGCTCCTTTTAAATCAAATTTTCAAACTGGTTCCCCATAGAACTTCTTAAAAGTATTTGCATTGCATTAAATTATGTGTGTTACTAACCATTTTGACATCGTTGGCAGTCAAACAAAGGAAGCCAAAATTGGATTTGCAGATGCTAGACTAAGTCAACCTGACCTTCTGCCGTGCTTGTCTCTGGTTCAGTTAACTCCCCAACATTTTGAAACTCAGAAACGAATTACTATATTGACCTCTCCTGATCTGAGTACTTTGTATGACCTGGCTGTCTGAGTATTTGGACTTTCAAGGACATCAAGACTTGGAACACTTGTTCTGAATGTATAGTCCAGGATCCTGTTTCCTTCTATGAAGGAACCATTACTTCTTTCTTGACCTGGTGCTCACTCTACATTTATCTTTGGACAAGCTAAAACCCTTGTTTTTACTGAAGAATGCTTTCACTTTATGATGATTGGTGGGAACAGTTTTAATTTTACTAGGCTTCTACTAGGTCCACATGGAAATGGCTTTAAAAAAGTGTCAGAGTCCATAGCCAGAACATAAAAGCCATGAAAAAATAGTATTCTTTGATTTCTGAGAGGTTTCTCATCTGTAGATTGCAGCCACCAGCGGTCTTAAAGTCTCAAATGTAAAAAGTATCTTTTTAGCTTCCATCAGTTGTATGTGGATGCATGTGTTACAAGTTGGCTCCTTTGGAGCTCACAGTAAACTTATTGAACTCAACTTTCCCTTGGGAGTCCATGCAACTAGATCTCCTGCTTTAACGTTCCAGTTGTGGATTACAAGAGACTGGCATGTTAATTTCCCATGTTTGCTCTGGGTTTTTTTCCTAACTGTCACCTTGACTTGTTTCTCACCCTTTTTTTGTGTTTATTTGCTGCTATCTCAATGGCTAGATTTTTACACCAAGGCCATGCGACTTGTTTGCTGATTCGAGTGGGGTGTTTTCACCAAAGAAGGTTGGTTTAGTGATATAAATGACTATGTTTTTAGAAGAGAATTAGATGGAGATTCGTAGCCATGTGTATCAGGAAATGTCAGTAGTTTAGAGCTTACTGCCAAATCTACAGGTTCTGAAAAATAGTATATGTGGAATGTCTATTTTTTATATTAAATAAAAATCTTACATCAGCGTAGCATTTTGATACCAAGGCTGTATGACAGCATGTTGCTGTTTAGCTTTCCTGTTCCCTTCATTGTTCTTATTAAAGCTTAATCAAGGCTTTACAAGGAATCATTAGTCTTTCATATCAATTGCTTGTCTTCCCTACATCCTCTGCTTAAAATCAGCTTGTCTTAGCTGTGCTTCTGCCGTAACTTTTCTAGCGCCCCTTTCCTATCCTGATATGCTTGTGCCTGCACTGAAAGGGTCGACATTTCAGCTCGAGAAGAGAGTTCGTGGAGGAACCTGGAGCTTCACTGGCTCTGTGTAGTTGTGTAGCATTTGGATTCCTCTGCATGTTGACAGCCAGCAAATCTTTAAAAGGAAGCGTGGATACAGGTGTTTAGCCTTCAAATCATGTGTTCTCATTTGTTGGCAGACTCCTCATCTTGTGAACCTCAATGAAGATCCACTCATGTCAGAGTGTCTGCTTTACTACATCAAAGATGGCATCACCAGGTGAGATGTGGCTTTGTTATGCTTGCTTAATAGACCTGTGGTTAGAGACATCATCCATTTAAATTACATTTCTGCCTGAAACTGTTGTTGCTGCTCTTAACGCAGGCACATGCACGCACATGCACTTACTGTAAATGAAAGGTAAGGGAAATGCATTTTCTTAGTTTACATTCTGTATGCTTGTGCATCTTTGCCAGATACTTAGCCTTGTGTCTTTCTCATGAGAGCAGAAAGAGAAACCTCTTGTAAAATACAGGAAAGGGGGATTGTAAAAGACAAAAATGGCAGGGGGAGTGGGCATGTTAGTAGAGTACTGAAAACTACCCTCTTTGGGAAAGTCAGCTGTACTTTTAATATCCTGTTTACTAAGAAGAAAGTTGTTTCCCCCGTTCTTTTTGTTTTCCTCTCTGTGGGTAGATCTCTTTCTTTTGAAAGCACATCCCTAAACTCAGTTACGTTATTTTTGGCTGCTAATGTCTGCATACAATTAATGCGGTCCCTGTTCGCATGCACAGGATTAAACTTAATTGCCATATTTAGAGTCTAGAAGGAATTTTCTTCATAGGCAGGACAGCTGGGGGAAGACTGAAAGGCGGATTTATCTATCTCTGGAGCATTGAGCAATGTTCAGCTGTTAGGTGGGCATATTCCCCATGGAACAGATGGAGAATAATGCAGGAATAAAAACTATGCCATTTTATAAATCAACATCACACTTCAATTTGGGAGGTTATGCTCAATTCTGGACTAACTTAATCATAAAACATATAGCAAAGCTCTAGGGAATTAAAAAATGAGCAATGAGAGATCTTTATGTGCCCCTAATCATTCTCATATAAGAAAATGAAGATTCATTTTTCTTTCTATCTCTCTTCTAACCTCAGTGTAAAAGTATTTAGCAGAACAAATGGTGCAGAGCAGGAACATCAAAATCTTTTAGTCATCCTATTTCATAATAAGAGAGCAAAGGGACTGTGAATGAAATTGAAAAATGGCAATTTTATATATGATAACTTCTTTGACACAATGGACAATTAAACTCTGGAATTCATTACCACAAGGAATTGGAAGCTGTGAGTTTGTGTGCGCAGAATTGTTTGTTATTTACAGGGATAGCAAGTAGCCAGAGTTAACATGAATAATTTCTCAGGCTTCAAGGTAGGCCAACCTCTGGAAGTTTGGAGGTTAGATGGCAACTTCATACTCATAACTACCTGCTACGACATTGCTTGCACCTTAGCTGGATCATGCTGTTATTTGGCACAGATAATGATGCCTGGACACTGGGCTAAATGGGTCGCTGTTTAATCTAGTATGGCAGTTCCTGTATCTGCAGTGGAAGGGACAGATGTTAATGACTGTTATTCCTGTCTTGTTTATTCACATGTAACTATGGGCTTTGTGAAATCATTTTTTGGCTGACGTGCCAAGTCCCACCCTTGTTCGTTCTCCCTCAGTGGCAAATTTTCTGCAGAGGTACCAGCAAGAGATGATCCCTTATGGGCCAGTTCTTCAGAGCTAACAAGCTGTTTTGGCCTTTCTCTCCCTTTTCAGGGCGACCCAGAGAAGTGCTTCAAACCCTTCTCCACTCCCTTCCCCTCCCCTCCACCCAAAGTCAGTCAGGATATTGAGCCCAGCAAAGCTGTCTTTTTTTTTTTTTAATGTTGTGTGTAATTAAGTCATGAGTTTTAAATCTTAACTTATCCCTAATTAAAAGTTTGTTCATGATGTTCTCATGAACTGTTCAGATGCCAGTGTTCAGTATTGTATTTTAGGAAGCATCCATTTTGAGGGGTTACATTTCCTCAGCTGTTAGAATGTAAAGGATTGGTTTAATCATGTGCAGCATTTCTTTGAACACAGTAGTGGTGTATTTTTTTTTATCAGTTGTAAACAACGTCTGAGTTGACCTTGAAATGCTTTCTGTTGGGCTCAGGGTTGGCCAGGCAGATGCTGAAAGACGACAGGACATTGTGCTAAGCGGGGCTCACATAAAAGAAGAACACTGTATCTTCCGAAGTGAGAGGAACAACAATGGCAATGGTGAGCATCCTTCCATTATCCAGGTGTCATTGAATCTCTTTCTACTTTTGAAGAACATACCCAGTTTGCCATTGTGAGTTTGCATATAAATATGGGTGCAAGGACTGCCTTATCCATAAATTAGTCTTCAGCACTGGTGAGCTAGTGCTTTGAGTCCTGGAAAAAAAAAAATAAAACCTCTGTACAAGCAGCTGTGTACAATGTATTATTTTTGAAGTGGTCAGGGAAGGAGAGCTGAGAGGACTGCTGGGACTTGAAAGAGTCCTTTCATCAGGTCACTGAAAACATTTTTTGTTTGGGTTTAATAAGAAGTAGCTGTTTGAGTTAATGGTTTGTGCAGAGTAGCACTATACTGAGACCTTCATTCTCTAGTGCATTTATTTGGCCCAGTTAGCACTGTTGCCTTAGAGCTGAAATTCATACCTGATCTTTAGGGATCCTAGTTTTTCCCCATTTCTCTGCATCCCCCTGCTCCCCCCAGCTCTGCCAGAGTGGGCCCCCAGCGGCGAGGGCTACAGAACCATCCTGCTTATTCTCTGTTCTGTGGGTACCAGCTACAGCCAGCCAGCAGCACCTGGGCCCCAGCTGCCACGTGGGAGGCAGCAGCTGCTGTGGTTGGAGCAGAGTGTGGAGCCCAGCTTGGCTCTAGCCCTGCTGGGTGGCACAACCGGAGTGAAGCTGAGTGGAGCCTGTGAAGGGTGGGGGGGATGCAGAGCCTGGGGCTCCCTGCCTTGTTTCCCTTCCCCCAGGGATTTGTGGGCCAGGGGGTGGGACCCGGTATGGGAGGGTGGGGCGCAGTGGGGAGGCTTGGTGCTACCACCACTGCCACTGGGAGCCCTGTGCCAGCCTTGCCATCATAGTGAGGTGCCCCCTGCCGGGCCAGCAGTGGCATGAAGTTGTGCCCTGCTGCTGCTACCAGGGGGGCAGGGAGTGTCTTGTCATGGCCAGTATAGGGCTCTTGGCGGCAGCAGCACTGTCACCAAGCCTCCCTGTCCTGCACGCTGGGTCGCAGAGGCCCCCGGGTGGGGGGCAGCAGCACAGGAAGCCCTGTACCCCACAATGGGCAGCCTGCATCCTCCCCATCCCTGCACACACATCTGGGGGGGCGATCATTTCTGGTGCCCGACCAATGTGTCATCTCTGGTGCCTGACCCAACCCTGAGAGTGCGTGCAGTGGTGGGGAGCCAGCCCCCCTCCATTACCCCCGAGATGAGCCACCTGTGGCTCCATCCCATTCCCCCATCCAGGCCATGCCTTCCTGCCCTGGCTGGGCAGCTCTTCCAGCCCCAGCTGCCAACCCTGCCCCACTCCCTTTCTCACCATGGGGGCCTCAGTCTGCCCCCCTGCCCCTCCTCCCATGTTTCCTACAACTGGAACTTTGCCAGCCTGCAAGGGGAAACCTGCAGTTTCCCATGTTTTTCTTGTTTAAAGGAGAAAATTTGCGTTTTTCTCTTTCGAGGAGAAAATCCACGTTTTTCCTTGGTGATCAGAATACCCAGATCCCTGCTGATCTTCGTGCTGTGTCCGAGTAGAACGTGTGGTACAGCAGAGATGACTTTTGCACTGTTTGTAGATTCTGGGCTGTGGATGAGACAAATGTGGCTCAGTCTGTTCATTTCTGGGTGTCCAGGTTATTTAATGGAAAATGGGGTTGAACCCAAGACAGTGTGGTCTGATAACGCTGTGGATAAAGAACAGTTTAGTTCTAGTGCTGGGTTGGACAAAGACTATTGTCTGTGATGTGGGGATAGTGCTTGCTTATTTTTTGGGGATGTTCAGGATGAAATACAGTGTACTTTATGAGACACTTAATGTTTACTTGTTACATCCCTGGTGTCTTAGGCAGTGTTGCCTTTCAGTCATTTCTAACATCAAAAGTTGTCTGTGCTACTAGACAAGCGCCTGCAGCTACCAGATATTTCAGTGGAGAGGAGTGTTTAGTACCTCCTAAGCATGTGGCACTGTATACCATACCACATAGCCCTGCAGTGATGGTAGTGCTGAAATCAATTACAAAACAATGTGTTGATTATCCTTCAAACCTTGTTGCAAGCGGCCTCTGTCAAGACTGATAAAAGCTTTGACCTGTGTTCATTTTGACCATTTTGATTGCAGTTCATTTTTTTTTCCCTATGGAAAAGTGAAACAAAGAATCCTAGCAGTTGAGACCTGCATTACTTCAGATGTATTGGCTGAATAACTGTGTCACTTGGCCATGTCCCACTATGCATCTTTAACCAGGGTTTGGTTTAAAGGAACAACTTCTTCAGAATCTCAGTTTGTAGGGAGTGTGTGTGGTGAGCAGAGCATTATCTACTTGTCTCATGCATTTTTGGCCAGAAGGGTATAGCCAGGTTTCTTGGCAAACGGTAAAGGAATATATCTGGGCCTTGTCCTTTCCCTGGCTCTCCAGGTGTTCTCTGGTAGGAAATGGCGTGTTTTGATGTGAATAACACCTGTGTTCCTTCTAGTTATTGTTACTCTGGAGCCTTGTGAACGGTCGGAAACGTACGTCAATGGCAAGAGGGTTGTGCAGCCGGTGCAGTTGCGTTCAGGTAAGAGACTTCAAAATCTGGCTTTTTTGCAGGTGGTTCTTCCAGGATGATCCATACAGAACAAATGTCTTCTGGCTGAAGGAAACAACAGGGTACTATTCCAGATGAGGAATCTTGGCTTTTTTGGCAAGGCCTTTTCCACATCGGTGAAAACACTATCTTCTTTTATTTTCCCAGGCCCTTCACTGCACCAGCTGAAAGGCTGCATAAAATGATCACTAACACAGGGCACTCTCTGCTTGATTCTTTACTTTTGCTTACTCTGGTATTATTCTAGTACATTCTTGCCCAAGACCGTTGCCCTTGGTGCTTGCAATGAAACAGAGTAAACACACTGCCAGCTGCTGATTGAAAATCTCCAGTTTCCCTGGCACAGCTGAGATGCAACTCCAGGCAGGAATTCATTAGCTTCTCTCCCCTTCCCTTCCATGTGTTCAGAAATCTGTTTAGAACACCATACATTCCTCCTCATACCTTGGCCAAGGGCAGTGGGGGAGAGCAGCTTTCATAAATGAATCGTGTAGCCTGACGATTGTAAGCAAAACATCTTTTAAATCGTGACCCTTCATTCTCCTGGTGCTAAGATGCGTTCCAGTGTCCTTTGCACTAGGTTGTAGACTGGTGTTCGTCATTAGGTGCATTAGCTTCAGCAGAAGATGGGCTAATGGGCATGAACAGGCTCTTAATTTTACGCTTTGAGCCATTCCTACTCCTTTAAAACTTCTGAAACCTGAATATGGCCCATAGGTTGGAAATTACTGCACTTATTGTTTGGCAAGCTGATTTTTCTGAAACTTGATTTTTTTTAAATACTTCTCTCTTTCATCCTCATCTCTTGATGTTTCCATTTAATGAAATGGGATTAGTAACTCTTGATATTTTTAAAAGACAGTTGTTTGTCATGAATAGACTTACAAAGACCGTCTTGGTGGCCTAAAAGTTCATTTCACTAGAACTGTAGTGATTATTTCTCACATTTGTGTGTTGTACTGGAAGAGCAGAGAGATGCTGCTGTACTTTTAGTGCTTGTTTTTAATGCTTTTGCATATAAGTTTTCTGTAGCACTTAGTTACTTCTCTTCTGCTTTTCCACATGCCTGGCACACTCCATCTCACACAAGGGTGAAGGATGCAGGAAAATGCCTCCCCAGAAATTCCATTGCCGAGGACTTAAGTGGAAACTTAGATCATTCGTACGAATCTCAGCACTTAAAAATGTAAAGCATCCAGTCTTCAAGTGTTTGAGGTTAAACTTTTCTAAATAGAAAAAATTATGGGGTGGCTTTGGTCCACGATTTTTGAGCCTGTCTTAAAAATGCTATTGTTGCAAAATTTGCTACAGAAGAGGATTAGAGTATAGTTGATCAGCGTATCTGTTGCTACTCTTGGTCCATTCACAAGACCATCTTATTTTGTGGAAGTTTTCTACGGAGGTTTAACAGGCAGGTGTTTCTTTGGGCATTTCTTGTTTCTGCACAGTTTCATCTCTCTTGCACTAACTGTGTGTTCCTTTTGTGTGGACACCTATTACTAATCTTTAAGAATCTGAACACAGTACTTTAGGGGAAAATCATCTGATTTCCTCAGGGTAAATTTGCCTGAACATAAAATGTCGCATTGGTTCTGGAGTCCTTATTTGAAAGAGTTAATCTTTTGTTCCTGTTTTAGGGAATCGTATCATCATGGGCAAAAATCACGTTTTCCGATTTAACCACCCTGAGCAAGCTCGAGCAGAGAGAGAGAAAACTCCATCAGCTGAGACTCCCTCTGAGCCAGTAGACTGGACTTTTGCGCAGAGGGAACTGCTGGAGAAACAGGGCATTGATATGAAGCAGGAAATGGAGAAAAGGTAATAAACTAGCTCATACGTATGACTTGGAACCAAAAAATACATGTGCCTTTTTCAATGGGTCTGTTTGGAGAGGTACCAGCTCTGTGTTTGAAGTGGATTCCTACTTTTTCCACAGGGAAGTGCCTACTTTTTCCATAGGGAAGTGTGCTTAATTGGGAGCTCCCTGTCAGTGAAGCATCAGACATTTAACTTGGCTTAAAAAATACCCAACCAGAGCTTGACTGTGCCAATCTATGCTCCTCTTGATTTAAATCTGGCTCTGGCTAAGTGGATGCTTGTGGCACTGTCATATTTTTGCCTTCATCTGTATTTTGAATTCTGGTTTCTTTAAAATATTATGCCCCCTAACCACTGAAGTTCTGGACCAAAACAGAGAGTAACTGCCTGGTTTCTTGATGCAGCTTCTTCTTAAGCTGACAAAGGAGGAATGATGGAAAAACAGGCAGGCTGGGTGTTCCCTGAGTGTTGTCTCCACCAGGCACTCTGCTTGTAAGAGAGAAGAGGACCAGGAATCATAGTAAAGAATATAGTGCTTTGCGACCCCACAACTTCCTGACTTACCTTTTGAAGAGAATAAACCCCTGTGCTGCTAAGCCTCAAGCAGTTACACTAATCAGGTCTTCAGCAGAACACATCATGTAACTCAGTGCAGATATCAAGGGTAGTTCTCATTCCAAGGGAACCAAAGTGCTTCAGCTGAAGGGAGCAGGAAGGATAGTGGCTTTCATATCAGCCGATTGAGATGCAGATAGACCCTAGACTTGAAGAAACTTGCATTTGCTCTTGCGCTTAACTGTTTCTGTGGATAAGATCACACTAGCACAAATGGTGCCCTGCATGGCTGCTTCTGAGTCCCTTCTGCTCTGTGTCTTCAGATTACAAGAAATGGAGATTTTGTACAAGAAGGAGAAAGAAGAAGCAGACCTCTTGTTGGAGCAGCAGAGGCTGGTAGGTGTCCATACTTCCTTTGATGTGTCTTTGGCAAGATTAACTACAACTGTTCCTGATCTGTTAGTCCAGGAAGATGGCTTGCACTGTCTGCATGTAATGACCAGTTCTTCCTTTCCTTATACATACCTCATAACTACAGAAGAGAGAATAATTATGGCTGAAGAGATACAGCTTGTGCCTCACTTGCATTAAGACAGAGATGACCTTCACCCATGTGAAGGCATCCAGCAGTGCTTATGGGGGCAGGATACGTTTTCTGGCTTTATGACTTAGGGCAAGAAGAGGACATGGCTTCCTTGTCAGTGTCTTTGAAATTGTTTTTCAGTAGTTTAATTTGTTAACTGTGGATGTTTGCCTTGGTTTTGTCTTGGATCACCAAAAGTACTAATTTTGTGCTGCTGAAAAGGACTTTTTGAGTGTTCCTGTGCTAGGTTTGTTTTACAGATGATGTCTGAAAACATTACTGCACTCTGCATGTTTTAACCTTTTTTTCTCCCCTGCATGGAGTCTGAATCTCTTGTAAGGGTCTTAACAGCACACACATGCTGATGATGGGGTAACACACGCAGCTCAGGGGTGCAAAGGGAACTTTCATTCTTTCAAACACTTGAAAATAACGCTGAAATCCAGGAAATTTAGTCTGATGATCTGACTTGAGTATTCTCTCCAGTTAATGGGGGTCTGAGTTCTTTTCAGTCAGATACGCTCCAAATGGTGCACAGTTTATAAAATGTAAAACAAAATAAATGCAGACTCCAAGTCCGTTGCCAAGCCAAAAAGTATGAGGAAGCAGGAATTCAATGTGGATTTCTTGAATAACACTGGCTCTGTCACATCTGCCCTTCTGTTATTTTTTGGCTTATTTTTTGGTTAGCCAGAGGGGAACATTACCTCTGCACCCATTTGGGAAGTTCAGGATGGCAACTTGCTGTTAAGGTGAGTTTGGGTAACTAGCCACTCATGGAAGCTCTATGAGCTTGTCCGAGGGCTTGTCACAAAGCTCCTCCCTTTGTCTCAAAGAGGGAGAGTGGAGCAGGACCTGGCTTCCATTGCCTGCTGGGTAGAAGCTGTATGGCAGTTAGTATGACTTTCTATTAAGAATAGGATATAATGACCTTCAACCCCCAACCCTGAGCTTTCCCATCCCCCATTGTGAATGAAGCGGAGCAACTGCAGAATTTGACCTCAGGCAAGTCTCATATCAGAAAAAGAAGTTAGAATGCAGTCAGTGCTGCTTTAAAGTAGTATGGGGAGAGTGCATTGAGAGCATGAGGGAAGTACAGTCTTAGTGCAGTCCTTGCGAGTTGGCTGTGAGCCACAGGAGATGTAAGTAGTGGTGTTACCCTCCTTAATCTTTGGATGAGACTTACAGGCAGCCTTGAGATAAGGCAGCATTTGGTCCCTGGAAAGGATATTACACTTGTAATATCTTGTCAAAAATAGGCCTGTGGAAACTGTGATTATTTTGAAATCTGTTTAAAATAAATCTGCAGTAGTAAAAATCCAGTGAAATAAGGTTAATTTCCCTGTTCTCTGTATATTTGAATGTAGTATTATTTAATACTGTAACGAACAATATGAATTCTGCAAGCACGCTCTATTTTTAGTCGGCCAGTATTGGAAGACTGTCACCATGAAATATCAGTAGCCAGGTATTTTTAAAAACAGATTTCCTAAAGTTACAAGAAACTATAATTAGGGGTGCACTGATAGAAATTTTGGGGGCTGATACTGATAGCCGATTTTTAAGGAGGCATATCGGCTGATACCAGTCCGATTTCTGATATAGCTGTGTGCAGCTGGTAAGTCTGTTGTGGTGGGTCTGCGTGGGGCAGGCAGGCTGGAGCCGGTGCTCAGCCGGGCTCTTCTCGGTGGGGGCTGGACTCAGGAAGGGGGCTACAGAGGGGGCTGCAGCCACTCCAAATTTTGTTTGGGGCAGGGCACAGGATGGAGCCATGCCTCATCAGGGAGGGGGGACTTCTGCTGTTACTGGAACAGCAGGAGGTCATCATAGGCCTATTCCCAGTGCTGCTGCCACAGTGCACCCAGCTCAGACCTGACTCAACACTCCGCCTCTGCTCATGGGCCAGGGGCTGCACCTGGTGTGTGGCAGCGCTGGGAGCAGAGCTATAGTGAAATTTGGGGTGGCTGAACCCCTCTCTGTAGCCCCTGCTGAGAAGAGCCTGGCACAGCCCTGGCTCCAGCCCTCCTGCCCTGCACAGATCTGGGGGCACACGCCTCCCCCACTCCCCCTGGTGCCCTTCTGGGGTGCAAGCAATGGTGGGAGTTCCCCCCACAAGCCATGGCTCTATCCCATGCCCTGCCCCATGTCAGCTGGGCAGTGCCTGCCCCTGCCCCTCCCTTACCCGCGGCGGGGGGGGGGGGGGGGGGGGGCG